TCCTCTCTGTCCAGGATGTGAACATCTTCATCCCTGAAAGAGTGACCGCTGGCCTGGAGATGAGTGTAGACCGCAGAGTCTTGGCCTGATGATGTTGATCTTCTGTGCTGGGCCATCCTTTTGGCCAGTGGCTGTTTAGTTTCCCTGATGTAAGACTGATCACAGCCCTCCTGACACTGAACAGCATACACAACATTACTCTGTTTGTGCCGGGGGACTGGATCTTTGGGATGAACCAGTCTTTGTCGTAATGTATTTTGGGGTTTAAAAGCCACTGGGACGTTGTGTTTAGAAAATAAACGTCTCAGTTTCTCTGAAACTCCCTCAACATACGGAATGACCACTAGTCTGGGTCTGGGTTCCTCCTTTTCACCTGATGGCTGACAGGAGTCCTGTTTGGGTTTCTTCTCTGCTTTCAGGAAGGCCCAGTTAGGATATCCACATTGCTCTAGAGCCTGTTTTGTGTAGGATTTCTCCTTCTGCCTGGCTCCCGAGTTAGTGGGGATGCTGTCTGCTCTGTGATACAGAGTCCTGATGACTCCTAACTTGTGCTCCAAAGGGTGATGGGAGTCAAACTGCAAATACTGGTCTGTGTGGGTGGGTTTGCGGTACACCTCAGTTTGCAAATGTCCTCTATCAGAGAGGCATCAAGTGGCATCATTCCCAAGAGCCTGGAACAAAAATCATCGGTCAGCGGGCACCGGGCACCGGGCAAGCAAGATCCTTCAGAAGGCACAGACCCAGCTGCTGAATGAACGGGTGAGACAGACCAATTTTACTATTGAGGCCTTGAAGGCCAAAGAAGTGCACATTAAACAGAAACTAACTATGTGTCTAGATCAGACCACACTTCAGCAAGTGTTGGACTGTACAGATCAGGCACGCTTAGCACAGCATGTCAAGTCCAAGACTCAACAACAAAACAAGTTTAACTTACTAATAACTCATCAACACCATTACTATTCCAATAACAACACATTCAGTGTAGGACAACACTCCAGTAGTCAATTACATGTCAGGGAGACAGAAAAGTGGGTGAAGAATTTATCTGACAGACAGCTCGCCCAGCCGGAGACAGAGATTCTTGCCAGGGGACTGAACTTTGCGGTTGCACCAAGTAGAATTCCTCTGGTGGAGATGATCACAGCCACCGAATCAGCCATCCGCAACAACAAAATGAAAGAGGGTGAAGCAGAACCGCTCAGAATCAAAGTTTCATCCTGCCTCAGCAATGCCAAACCACCAGCTTCCAACATCAGTAGAGAGGAGAGGGATGCACTCACCACTCTTAGCAAGGACAAAAACATCATCATTCTCCCAGCAGACAAAGGAGTGTGCACAGTGATTTTGAACCAGAAAGACTATCATGAGAAAGTTATGACACTCCTTAGTGACTTAACCACTTATGAACCTCTGAAAAGAGATCCAGGAAGTGGTTACAAGAAGAAGTTAATAGATTGCCTGAAAAATTTGGAGCAGGACAAGGCTATTGACCGTTTTCTGTACCACAGACTGTACCCAGGGGAGGCCACACCTAGTCTGTATGGTTTACTTAAAATCCACAAACAAGGTGTACCTTTAAGACCTATTGTTAGCATGATTAACTCTGTCACTTACAATGTTTCCAAATATCTGGCGTCTGTACTCATCCCTTTAGTTGGCAGCTCAGAACACCACATACAGAACACCATGGACTTTGTGGATAAGGTGAGGGATGTCATCATGGAGACTGATGAAACAATGGTCTCTTTTGATGTCACATCACTCTTTACGTGCATTCCTGTTGATGATGCAGTAGAGGTGGTCAGTTTAAAATTAAAATCAGACACCACTCTGAGCAGCAGGACCACGCTTTCCACAGAACAACTGTGTCAACTCTTGAAACTGTGCCTGCAGTCAACCTACTTCACATATGGGGAGCAATATTATAGGCAGAAACATGGGTGTGCTATGG